CAAAGTAAACAAATACGGAACGGGAAACGGAACATATTTGGTAGTATAGCCTACCTACGTTTCGCCTAAGATACATTAAATATTTTATGAAAACAGTAAACGATTGACGCGCGGCGTATAATACATATATGAACATACTCTTTTGTAAACACGATGACCTTCGCGCGGCAAAACTCAAGGCTGGTAGGCGACATAACAGTTGGCTGACATTTTGCCTCTCGTGTGCTCTTACTTTTATTTAACAACGTAAATTTAATGACCAAATTTATTGACCAAAATTCTTTTTCACTCCAAGTTCCTTCGCTCCATCAAATCCACAAAACGTCGTAAGAATTAAGCGCGCTGTATTTTCGTAAGATTTTGCATCCTTTCGCGTTGTTCTCAATGCATAGTAAAGTGCATTAACATTACGTGCGATTAACGACGAGAGAGTGCCAGAGTAAAGTACCGTCGTATATCCTGTGATTAGCGTACGCGTGATAATTAACTGTGTGAATATCTTCTTGCGACTGAATATCTTCCAAGTGTCAGAAAAAAGCAACTTATCAAAGAAGTATTATTATTATTTATTTATGCTTTATTGCATAAATAAAACATACATTTTATTATATATACATATATGTACATATGTATATAGTAGTATATGTATATATTTTATCAAATATTATAAATGTATACGTATAAAAAAGTACTATATTTATGTAATTCTCTTTTTAAGTATCTTTAAAAACCAAAAAGATCAATCTGAGTAATAATCACGTTTTGCAATATTAATTATTGCGAGTATTGTTACAATATAGATATATTTGTATTTTACAGATCGAGACATTCTACTAATCAATGATTGGTTTCTCGTGTTACAACTGTGCTCCCGTTTAACACGTCGTTTCGGTGAGTGCTGAATTATTCTTTATCTTTGCTGAAATGCAATGAATTTGTTAAATGATGTCAAATATAAACATATATTTAAAAAAAAATCACAGAAAATAAAAAAATTAAAAGCTTTTTCTCATGATAACTCTTATTAGAATATAAAATTTGAGTTTGCAATTGTAATAAATGCAGCAGTAAAATATGATATGCATATATAAATATTATATAATATTTATTCTTTTAAAATGTTTGATATTTGAATTTATTACTCATCTCTATAAACCTAGTCATATTAAAAATATTGAAATCAAGAGTATAAAAATATTATAAATTTAATTAAAGCAATAAGTTTCGAGATTTTCAATATACATGTATCACGAAAATATCGTGACGATTTCACAATCTTCTCATTAATATT